AAGAAAAACGACTAAACAACTTCGCACTACTATTTCATGTGATGTAATTAATCAAACTGCAAGAAATCTAGTTTCACCTACCACGCAAAAAAGAAAGCCTAGTCGAACTAAAAATGTTTTAGGTCACACTTCCACACAAACTGATATGTTTTCATTTAAATAATGGTTTTATGAATTTTGCCAATATTTGATTATTTTGTTTTGCATTTATTATGATTCAATTAATGTAGGCATTCATTCACGTTGTCAAGTACTTGAAATCTATATATATAAATAATTATATTATAAAAATATCATTTACTAATAATAGTAGTCAAAAATTTGGGAAGCATTTAGTGCATACTTTTTTTTGGAATTTTTTTAAATATATGCATTACTTGTTTCTATATACACGTTTTGAAATGAGATAAAATTCATATATGATAAAAAATATTATTTTCTTAAATAATTTTATTAATATCTACAATAATTTCATTGATATCCATTATAATAAATTAAAAAAATAATTTTTTATGGTTCATGTTGATAATATTTTAGTCAAAGTAAATATTACAACATATTTTAAGTTCTAACAATAATATTAGTTTTTTTTATAAATATTCACTTTTTATCCAAAAATATTTATAGAAAATTGTAACAGGTTAGGTAGAAGTTTTTCTTCCAATTAATCAGGCGAAATCAAGTTGGTGAATTAATATTTGCCAATATAATTGTTTCTTAAGCTTTACTTCGTTATATATAAAAAAAAATAAATTATTCTTCAAAGTAATATAATTTACCATTTGACATATCATGGCCATATACATTAAATAGCTTTATTAATGATAAAAAATTAAGATTAAAATATATTAATTGTTTTTTAGAATTTATTTGTATATTATTGACATCAATGATTATTTTTTTCATTATTTTTATTTTAATTTCTTTCTATAATGAAATTATTATAAAATATGTTTTCATTGCAAACTATGCTGAATAAATTATAAATCCTTATAATACAAATTAAAAAGTTTTTGATTTTTTTTTTTTCCGAAACGATAGAGGTAATATAAAATAGCACAAAAGTGCAAAAGGAACAAATTACAAGACTCCAACGGGGATAGATTGAGTTTTTGAAATTTGCTAAATCAAAGTTGTTTAATTGGTATATAAAATTAAATTATAAAAAAACATGTGCGTATATTTTGTAAAATATTTGTACACTATATAATTTTAAATTTATTTACATATATTAAATTAATTACATAAATAAATAATATTAACGTACATTAAATATTTTTTTATTACATAAAATAAAAAGAAAAAAATAGACGTACAACTTCTACAACTTTTATAAATAATAATGATATTATATGATAACAAAATTTATAATAAAACAGTAATTAAGTATTATATGGTGAACAAGAATAAGTAAAACTGTTATTTCTCTTATATCAAGGAATGAATATATATACTAAAACAAATATAGATTAGTATAAATGTGTTAGTGAGATAATATAATAATTATTTTACAAGTTAACCCTAACATGCTCATATTTAATGTTTTAGCCAAAAAAACAACGTTGAAAAATACATTTAAATCATATTGTTTTATTGACTTAACGATGATTAAAAGAGGTGAAAAATAGATGATAACTCTACTTTTTGAGATTTTAACAGACAAAGCATGTGAAAATAATTCATTTAATATCTCCGTCTCGTGCATCGCACGGGGTGCGTACTAGTAAAAATAACAAACCATCTTCATTTCGGGTAAATTGCGCCAAACCTCCCCGTATTATACAAAATAGGCGCGTTACTACCATGTGTTTTAAAAAATGCATGACACCCCCTTGTATTTAAGTAATTGTTGCACGATTGACCAATTCCGTCCAACTTAACGGCGCGTGCACAACACCTTCTATACCTGCGGAAATTTTACAATTTTTTATTTTACATAATTAATAAATTACCATTATACCCTCATGTGTTTTATTGAACAGACTAGAATAAATAATTTCACCCAGGGGGAGGAAACTAACCCGGGTCTAAAGGAGGTAAGCCTGCCCACTAAACCAATGGGCCATATAGATTCTTGTGTAAGAATTGTACACAACTATATTTCTAATATCAATTCTAAACGAATTAATAAAGTAAAATAAAATAAAATAAAAATATAATAGGTAAATTTAATACAAATTAAATAATAATAATAATAATAATAATAAAATAATAATAAGAGCTTGCAATACATTAAATTAAAATAAAAATTTGTTATATATTTCTATTTATTAAGGTAAAATTAATATAAAGTTGAAAATGAATAATAATAATAATATTAATAATAATAATAATAATAAAATTAAAATAATATAATAGGAACATTTAATATATATGAAATAATCATAATAATAATAATA